CGTGAAAATCTCAGACCTCATGTCTGCGAACACTTTGCGAGATGCAGGCATGCAAGAACTCCCCTTGTGCTCAAAGAGAATGCAGAAATAGCATACAGTTCAAGATCGGGGGCACGAAACCAGCTATCGTTATTCAGGTGTTTCGCGGGTTTCCGCATAAATCTTAAGTTAGTACCTTACAAACGGACAATTAAATTCTACATCATATCGTCTCAAATTGTATAACCAATTTAGTTCAAAGGCATCGCAAAATAAACTAAGATTCAAACTAAGCTGTTCAAGACGACTCGTAGTACGCGGGTTCAAATACCCGGCGGAGGTCGTCGAATTTTTAATGGCGGAAAAATTCAGGGAACAAGTCCTCCGGGAGGGACTTTAAGCCGTGGTTCCCGTGTCGTAGCTTTACGGCACGTAAAAGAACCTCATACCTCCGAAGGATGCCACTGAGCCAAAATTGCGGACGTTTCCCGCCCAACAGCAGTCACTAATACCTCTGGTAGATGGGGGAAGCATTATAGATACCTCTCAGCTAGTAGAGCCGGTCTCGCTGGCTGGGCGGGACTGATGGTAAGCACCAATACCGGTAGGATAGAGAGACTGGTAGAAATCACAGAGGGAAGCACAATGGACCACTACAGGTCTAAGTGCATGGGGAAACCCACCCTCTCCAATAACTAAGCTGTTCAAGACAATAATGGAACTCGTGGACAGACATGACCCTCCTATCGTGGGTTCAATTAAACTTCTGACACTTACGGGGAAATATAAAAAGGAATATACATGTCTATAAGAGATAAACCCTGTTGTGGGAAAGTGAGTTCCAATAAACACGTATATTTTTCATCACAGATACAAATCTACCATTAAAGGTATGTACAAACTGTTGCAAAGTAACCAAACTACAGATACCACACTTCATGGCCAGAAATCGTTTTATCTTAATATCTGCATATAGATAAGAGTTATATTACACCAATTATCCAAATTTCCAGTTAACCTAATCAGTGCAACCAAGGAATGCGCCTGTTAACAAATATCACTGTTGGACTTTATCAAAGTGTTTTAAAATATGAACTTATAAATACAAAATTCAGCATACAAATCATCAGCATCACCTTAGCTACATGTTTACATGGCTTTCAAAGCCATCATCAGGCAAATACATGGTTACTGCACTCACACACTGTTGAACTGCATTTCAGTGTGACAGCAGAGCTGGATACCTGACAACTATATTATGCTATAAAAATACAAGGTTACTGCACTAACACACTATTGAACTGCATTTCAATGTGACAGTAGTATTATTATAGTGTAACACAGTTGTCAAGTATCCAGCTCTACTGTCACACTGAAATGCAGTTCAACAGTGTGTGAGTGCAGTAACCATCCACTTGAGAAAAACCAACATAACCTCACGGTTCAGATCCCTTCTCCTGTAGCCAATAGTGGCTCTTTGCCTTTTATGAAACCTAGGGTATCTCTACGTCATGTTCACAACAGTCCGCCACAGGTCCCTGTCCTAGTCCAGATTAATCCAGTTCACACCCACCTACACTATTTACTTCATATATAGTTTAAAATGAATTATCCTTCCATCCATGCCCATGTCTACAAAGTGAACTCTTCCCTTCAGAGTTCCCAACCTAACTTCGCGTGCATTTCTCGTCTCTCACATACACTACATGGACCACCTATCCCATTAATTCAGTGCACACTGTTTCAAACAGACATTTTTCTCTTAATGACATACACTTTCCACAAATCTGCTGCTTTACTTTAAATACAGGGTCAGGTTGGGAAGGGGAACAATGTCCTTTCAGGCGGTTGGCAGCACTGGGAAGGACTGCCTGAAAGACTTCTGCAAGAGACATGGGCCCCAGAACAATGCAGTCTGGGTAGAATTACTGGATTTAACTAAATTCAGTGTTGAAATTCTCTGAGAATTTCTGAGTGTGCCATAAAGAAAGGAAAATAAGATGACACAAAAAAAAATTAAATATGGATGAAATCCAACTGTCCCACATAATTTACCAAAAAGTCTATCTCTCAAGAGTAACATGCTGGTTTCAATGGTTGTCAATGCAGAAAGAGGGTAAACAGTTGTAGCAGTTTCTTGCTTTAGTACCACTGGAATCTACATTCCAGCAGCCCTGATTCTTCCACAAAAATGGATGACAGCAGAGTTTCTTCATATTGCAGCTGAAGCATTTCATACAGCACAGCATGCCTACTGAGAATGACTGAAAACTGCTGCTTCTGGACAACCACACCTCACATGTATGACCCCAATCTCCTCCCCACACCACAACATGTGTCTATGGGCTGCTACAGACAGTTCAGGCTACAGAATCTGGCAAATCTTGGGTTGATAATCCAAGAATAGCTCTGGTTCTGATACTATTTCAGAATAGCCACAGTTCAGAAAACAAAGCTATATTTTCCATTAAACTGGAATTCACCCTTTTGGCCCAGACATTTTTTCCGATAAAAATTTTACCCTGTTGTTGGTAAAAGAAAGCCCTCAAGAACCTGGACATCAGAAAACTAGGAAAAGGGACCTTGACACAGTTCCCATCAATGATCATGCTTCAGCCTCACCTTCAATGTCTATATGAAACACTGATGGTGACTGATGGTGCCAGCTTCTCCAAGTCAAAGAACCACAGTAAGTGCAGTCCAGTTTCACCCAATACTAAAAGCTAAAAGAGCAGTGTAGCAGAGAAAAACAGCCAAGAAATCAGAAATATTCTAGGGTTGACCTTACAGGAATGCAAGTAAAAAATTAAACTTTTCCCTCTGCTTGGTCAATTAAGCACTATGCCATTAAGATATACTGGGGAGTGGAAGTATAGATCCGAAGAGAAAAATCTTGTCCCTACCCGGAGTCAAATTCCGGCCATACAACCCATGGCCAGTTGCTACATCGACTTCTCCTTACATGAATGTATGGCAAGAAAAGAACAGCAAATGAAGAAAGCATGACAGGAGGAGCAGCAAACAAGACTATGGAAGTGCACAGAGAAGTAGATGTTTCAGTGCTACCAACAAGGGGTGCACAAAGTAATGGAAACACTAAGAAACTGAGTAATATAATTTGCACTGGCTAGACTGGAAGAACTTCAGTGAGCAACATAGAATATTCTTCTTCTGTTTGTTTATATTCTCTAGTGATCATGTCAGTGCATTAGTGATTGTGCTGAGTGACAGTCTATGTGAAAGAAATGGAAAATGGGAGACTTGTATGATTTTAAAAGAGGACAGATCATTGGTGCTCACTTAGCTGGAGCATCTGTAAAACTGCAAATTCTTAGGTGAATTGAGAGTGACAGTTTCTAAGCTTATGTTGGCATACAAGAATCATGGCAAGATAACACAGCCAAGTGGAACAGTGGGTAAAATCAACAATAGAAAAGACCACTGTACGCTGAGAACTGTTTCAAAAAATCACACAACTGCTGCAGCACAGGTGACAGGACAGCAGAACTGAATACTCATCTTGAAGACCCTATTTCTGCAAAAACCATCTGATGTGAGCTTCACAAACCCAACATCCACAGTAGGGCTGAAAATGCTAAACCCCTGATTACTGAAAGTAATGCTCAGATGCATAAACAATGGTGTCATGGCCATAAATCCCAGACATCAGATAACTGGAAATGCACTAGTGTTATGGTCAGATGAGTCATCCTTCACTCTGTTCCTTACATCAGGAAGAGTTTACATTTGGAGAACACCGAAGGGAGCCTACAATCTGAAATACCTGGTTTCAACAGTGAAACATGGGAGAGGTTCTGTCATGGTTTGGCCAGGAAAATCATGGTACATTATTCTGCTGGTCCAATTATTACCCTTCATGGTCGAATTACTGCAAGATGCATTTTTCCAAGATCACACAGCTGGAATTATTCAGTTATGGTTGGAAGTGCATAAAGGTGAACTTCAACATCTTTCCTGGCCAGCACAATCATCACATTTGAATATCACTCAAGCGGTCTGGTCAGTTTTGGAGAGTAGAGTGAGGAACACATTCCCACCTCCAACACCTCTAAAGCAACTTGAAGATGTACTTCAAGAAGAATGACATAAAATTCCATCAGAGACTGTTCAAAACTTTTACATGTCCATTCGAAGGTCTGAAGTTGTACTGAAGGCAAAAGGTGGTAAAACATCATATTAATAAAGAAATATGTACAGTATCTGTAGTGTTTCCATTATTTTATTCAACCCCTGTATATATAGAAGGCAGACTTCGGTGAAAAGGAAAGTACTTGCATTTCAAGAAACAATGAATTGCCCTGGCTGCAGCAAGCAACAGGCAGAGCCTATATTCAGAGGGTATGAAAACTGCAGGAGTCATACAGGGAATGGCACATTCGTTGCTGAACACTGGTAATCTGTGTGCTCTTACAAGACACAAGGCATACTCTCACCAGACAAGGTGAATAAGAGTACACTTTTCCAATTCAGTGGCTCTGTCAAACGTTGATTAATCTTGTGAGATTTCTAACCTCCTGACAAGTGTTTTCCAATAAATGATGAGTAATTTCATGCAAGTAACACTTCTTGAAATACAAGAGCCTGCTGGTCAAGTGTAATGACACGTGTATTCTTGCTCAACTTTAACCTTTATAGAGTGTCCCTGGAAGAAAGGTCAATATTCTGGGAGGTCATAGGATCAGTCATTCTATGCAAAAATGGGGATATATACACATGTCCCATTCCAAACGGTTTCCAAGATAGAGCTATTTCCCTGTACAGTACCCTGTACACTGTACAGAAGAGCAACATGCCATGATTTCATGCAAGCTGTAAAGTGCACTGATGTTTATGGTGGAATTTTTGAAAATGTATTACACTAGGTACACTGTATCAACTTTTCTCACTTGAACAATAAATGCAAGTATTAGAAACAATACACATTATCTCTCTTATCAACAATTCTGATGCAAAAATGGCATAAAGTCAAAAAAGAAAGCCAAATGTACATATATACTTACATTTTCGATGGACCAATTCTTGGGCCAAGTCAACACTGCTATAATATCTCAGGGAAATGGTGATAGTCTTCAACACCAGACACACTAATAGTCTGTCCATCAAGGAAAGCACTATTCTGGTAATAAGACGATTTTCAAACCATGGCCAAGTTCCACACATCGCCTGTAAGTTTCCCGCAATTTGGAATTATACTATGAACGTAACCAGTGTCACTTTCATCTAATGCAAATAATTTGATGCTCCACTTCATTCGTCTATTTTGGAGGGGATTATAAGTTTCGAAAGTTGTTTTGCGCTTGAACCCAACTGCTGACTCAGGCCGCGCCATAGCTCAAGCGGTTAGTCGCTGGCTTCTCACCATGGCCCGGGTTCGATCCTGGGTCTGGTGAAGTGGGATTTGTGGTGGACAAAGTGGCGCTGGGGCGGGTTTCCTCCAAATACTTCGGTTTCCCCTTCCAATCTTCATTCCACCAAATTCTCCATCATCATAATCACCCAAGGCAGGTACAAGAAACCAATCAGTGGCCACTGTGCCGAGTGGACCCAGTTGAACTCCAACCCCACTAAGATAATTAAAAAAAATTGTTGATTCATCTACTACAATATTTTTGGGGGCATGCGGTAGCGTAGTTGTTTGAGGCACTATGCTACAAGCCGGAAGGTCACGGGTTCATGTCCCGACGAGGTCACTGAATTTTTTCAATTGACCTAATCTTTCTAGCCTCACTATGGCTCTGGGGTCGACTCAGCCTCTAACAGAAATGACTACCAGAATATTCTTTGGGGTAAAGGGCGGCTGAAGCGTAGGGCTGACATTGTCACCATCTATGAGCCGAATTTCCAGAAAATGTGGGATCCTCAAAATCTCACAATCCTATGGACCTCCAGTGCCTGTTACAGGGATAATTACAATAATTTTACATGACTGAAATTGTTTCTCCATGTTTTATCACCTCATGTACTTTCTTGTCTTTCTGATAGCCCGACTGCTTTATTCGGTGGCATCATTTCCCCACATGCATCATCGCCCATTGTCAAGTCTTCCCACACACCAACACGCAAAAACACTTATTTCACTCGCAGTTTCTGCTTCAATTTCCAAATTAACCTCATCATCACAGTCACTATTGGTCACTATCGAGTTCTTTAGTTAACACTACTAGATTCTTCTTCTGCATTACACAAGAGATTATATCTAGTTTCATCCCTCCAATGGCCCGTCGTTCGGCTGAACGTAAAACTACGCTAACACGTGATACGCCGTAATATATAAATGATATTCATTTTTCAAGAAGTTAAAATTATGACTTCCAGATGGCAGAGGGACGCAGACAAAACATTCGTGCATGCGTTGGTAGTCTACAGTGCCAGTTAGCAACGTATGATTGAAATATGACCGCAGAAACATAAAACAAACTCTATAAATAGTATGTCAACATTTGTCCATGGAAGCACAGTCACTGTGTCGATTTATATATCGACGTTTGACCGGAAAAAAATTAGAAAACTAAAACTACGTGACTTGAGTCCGCAAGCGAACTATGGCAAACGGGCGACAGCCCCTTATCGATGTAGTGCCAACTTCAGCAGAAAGAGGGTGTCGCGTGGTCAGCACAATGAATCCCCAAGGGCGTTCAATTCGGTTTTCTTGACCCGAGCCCCCATTGCCTTGAAATAGATCCTCAATGATCCTCATGAGGCTGAGCGAACCCCGTTCCAGACCCACTGCTTCTCAGAAAATCTGGCAGCGCCGGTAATCGAACCCGGACCTCTGGATCTGTAGGCAGAAACTCCGACCACTAGACCTCAGAGGCGGTCTCCGGAAAGGGTGTTTACTTTATTAATTTGAAGTTTATATAGTGAAGCTGTCAGTAAATCAGACTATAGCACTGAATTATTGAACAAGGATGTGGTAGGAAGCAGTTGTGACCCAATTTCAGGTAAGTCGGTGTCCCCACCGAGATTTGAACCGGGTACTCCCCAAACAAAAGTCAGAGCATTATCACTTCAGTCAACTTGCTCAGTCATGACCTACCATTGTTAGACTACTGAAATCTCATTTATGTTCAGCTGAATATGTAGCTCAGGAACGTCTCTGTTCTCTAGTGGTCAGAGTTCATGGCTACAGATCCAGAGGTCCCGGGTTCGATTCCCGGCGCTACCAGATTTTCTGAGAAGTAGTGGGTCTGGAACGGGGTCCACTCAGCCTAGTTAGGATAACTAAGGAGCTATCTGGACGGAAAAGTAGCAGCTGCGGTCTATAAAACCGAAATTAGCGGCAGTGGGGATTCGTTGCCCTGACCACGCAACACCCTCTGTACGCCAAAGTTGGCATTAACTTCACCGACAAGCGGCGGTCGCTCGGTCGGTATAGTTCGCTTGCAGACTAAAGCCAAGGAGGTTTTTTTTATATGTAGCTCCCATGATAGAAACATGACAGAATTTTGACAGTGGAATCTGGAATAAAACACCTACAGAGCAGCGGACATTGGAGGATCAACTGAAGATGGATTTTTAAGAAAACAAATATGGTAGGTGGATGGAACTACTTCTGGGACATATTCAACAACAGGGTTTGGTAACAGTGAAGCGAGATCTACTCCCAGAAAACTGTTCAGACAGCACCTGAAAAATAAATTGTACAACCTGATGATGGCTACAATCTCAAATTCTTTATGTGAAAGGCATGTAGAACACTGGAAAGTACATATTTATAAACTTACATTCACCAGGTCAATATTGGTGTAGGAACAGATATTCACCAACGAAGCCTGCATGCAAAAAGTAGCAAGAAACAATTTTAAATTTCTACCTTCTTTTCAACATAAGAAAAAATAAATCACAATGTGGCATACATGTAATAAAATATTTTTATCAGTATTTAATTACTAGAATTCATAATACTTATAGTTAAGTACCTGCAAACCAAGAATCAGTTTTCTTGTGTCCATAGTGACAATTAAATACATATACATTAAATTATTTACATAGAACAACAAATACATTATCACAAGAGTGGATGGCCGTACTCCAATTCTGAACACACACAGCCCACTTCCAAGTGTGTTCTTTGTAATTTTACTCGTACATACTCCACTGACCTGGATCATTCACCACTGCTGTAAATCTTGGAGCAACAAAATTAACCTTAAATTATTCTTCACTGATTTCAATCTTGTACAGTATATGACTTTGTTTGGGCTGCACTCCTCTATTTTATCAAACTTCTTCAGTCATCTCTTGGCCACTACTGCCTACTAACATTTGTAATATTTATGTACATATTTTGTTCATATTTTATGCATATATGTATGTATTAATTTTCATTACTCTTCCAATCAAAATATCTGAGTTATAAAAAATTAATCGTTAAATATATAATTTTTTCAACAACCACACAAAGAAAAACTGTCAGTTACCTTATGTTACATACACAGATGTACTGTTGCAGAGATATTTAAACTCAAAAATCCTTTTCCTTGTACAGTAAGCTATCAGTTATCTAACATTTAAGCATGTGGGATTCTAATTCAACCAGCAGAAATTTCAAATTTAGAAAGTTCTTGAAAAATAAATCTGTGACACACATATGTTCAGCTGGTATGTAGTAGTTCGCAAAGCCTCCATTATCCACGCTACCTATCCTCCTCTCCAACAAGATGCCATTATAGTAGAGGCTAACTGAGTTTGCAACTGCATTACTGCATGTGTTTCCAAAATCTTTCAACCATCAATTTGCTGTGTCGGGCATGGAAGACTCCCACAAAAGAACTAGAACAAAAACATGTTGTTTTGATGCTGTATTGGGTTTCTGTGAGATTTCTTCATGCTCCCAGCAAATTCATATAATTGGCAGATGGCATTTCCCACATATGGCAGATGCCAGATAACTGAGAATTTACAGTATTTCAAAGAATGTTGTCTTCTGGTATGTGGCGCCATATAGATCTTGTGTGAACCAACGTTTCAGAGGAACGTATCGCCTCCATCTTCAGTGTAGAAAAATTCATGAGCAAGGAACCAGGGTGAGCAGGTGGCCCACAAGATCTACATGGCACCACATCCCAGAAGACAGCATTTTTCATAGTCACCATTGTGAAAACCTCAAATCTTACTTACTGTATCACATCCAAAAATGTTACACATAACTATCAGACTATTCGACTTTTTGCTCAACTATTAGACTTTTTACAGACAAATGTATAATATACAGGAAAATTACAACTAATAAAGATATGGAAAAGTTGCAGATAGATCTGAACAGACTTGGGGAATGGGTGGCTGAAAATGTGATAATAATTAATCCAATTAAAAGTAAGGCAGTTTGTTTCACAAGGGCCCGAGTGATGGAACCATTAAATTATTTGTATGGGACACAGTAATTCCTGAAGTTAGCAGTTGTAAATAATTTTACGCAGTGACCTAAGTTGAGCTGATCAAATTAATTACACAGTGAAAAAAGCATGGAAGACACTTCATTTTACAATGCATATTCTAAAAGAGGGAAATAGTAACACTAAATGTTTAGCGTACACATCTTTAGTGTGTCCGATTCTGGAATATGGGGCGGCTGGCTGGGATGGATCCTTAGAGGGAGGGACAGATAAATGTGTTAGACCATGTGCAAAAGAAAGCGGCTAAATTTGCACATAGGAACCATTTGAACTGGGGAACAGTGACACAGTGCAGGCAGATAGCTCGCATATGCACTCTCTTCAAAGCATACACGGGAGAACAGGCTTGGAAGACTATAGGTGATAGATTACAAAGGCCATGCTATCTGAGTAGGGGTGATCACGACAAGAAAATTAGGAGCAGGAAGCAGTGGACAGATATTGGAAAATACTCCTTTGTAAATAGGACCATACAGATCTGGAACAAACTACCTTCACATGCTTTAAAGACTCTCTCCTGCAAACCAAGTAATTTTAGGAAAAGGTCTAGGAAAGTAATATATGAGGTGACGTGAAGGTGGGGTGGAAATCAAGAAAAAATGCAGTAAAGTGAGGTGACGTGAGGTGAGGTGAGGTGAGGTGAGGTGAGGTAAGTGAAAAGTGTTAAGGATGGGAGGATTACGTAAGTGTAGTAAAGCAAAATGAATGGAAAATGACATTATGCACTCATTGCTGTTAGTTTCTTATATAGTATGTTTCACTTTTCTACTAATGTTTGTGTGCTGTGTTTTGTTTGAACGTGTTTATGTGTGTTATTTGTCTGTTGTCTTATTGTAGTACCAGGTGAAAACCCATTTGCAGTTAAATAATAATAATATAAAAGCTGATCTTAATGAGTTTCATGCTTTACATTATCCATGTCTACTAAACTCTTTTATGGTGTAAAAGGGTTCACACATGAATGATGTAAACCAAAATTAAATCTG